AACCCCTTTCTGAGGCTCCATTGCAACATTCTTGGCAGATTTGGAAGTGATGTCTTTGTAGCACGTGTGTCAAGGTTCAGAAGCAATGTAACAGGCACCCCTGCGTACATTAAGTTGGTGTAATGTTCCCCCCCTCCCCTATTTTGGAAAAAAAAGGATGCCTCCATTGGCAGTTGTGTTTCCTGAGATTTCGGGAGGCAGGAAGCTTCTGCCGCAAAGCCTGTGGCCAAGATCACCACCAGGTCTAGTAGGAAATCAGGATATCTATGGAGATTCTCAACCATCCAGGTCATGTTTGTCCCAAAACTGGACTTTTTTGTTTTTGTTTTTTCTTTGAAACATTTTCTTTGAAAATGTTACAAGGAGGGGGGGGGGTAAAACCCCCAAGAAAGTCCAGTTACCTTTTGAACATTCTTTGAAAATGTTTCGCTTCTCATTCAAGAAGCTTCTCCAGTTCTGACTGAATGGTGGAGAATAGAAGGATTTATATTCCATGCAGTCATCTGGTCCTTAGCACGCTGAAGGTCGAGCGTAGGAAATCGGGAGCTATAGGATAGTGGGCATCCAAAGCTTGTGACAACATGTCCTCTCCTTGGATGTGACTAATGTCAGAAACCTCTACAAATGTTGCAAAAAGTCCTATCACTTTTTCTTTTTTGGGTGCTTTCAAGGCTGCTGTCTCCAGGTGACTGCCTGAACAGCAACTTTTTTGGTAAGGTTTTTCAGAAGTGGTTTGCCATTGCCTCCTTTCTAGGGCTGAGAAAGAGGGACTGGCTCAAGGCCAAAACTCACAGCCTTCTCCAATACACCAAACTGGCTCCGTTATCAATAGCTGTAGCGTTCAGAAATTGCTTGGTACCCCTTCTCACAAATAACAGGCGAAGAGTGAACATTTCAGAATGTTTCATGCAGTTTTATTCTTTTATTTATTGTACCTGTTTTACTGTTGTTTTAATGACTGGCCCTGGACCATAATTAAACAAGTTGCTTTGTAGGTGAGATGAGCAGTCTCCAAATTTTTATATACTTGTGTGTGTGTGTGTGCGCGCGCGCGTGCGTGTGTGTGTATGTATGTATTTGTATATATATATAAATTTGGAGCTGGAAGAAACATTAGAAATGCTAATCTATTTTACACACATACACAAACAAACACATGTATATGTAGGTATAGGTGTAGGTATATGTGAATATCACTGCCCCACTATCTATCTATCTATCTATCTATCTATCTATCTATCTATCTATCTATCTATCTATCTATCTATCTATCTATCTATCTATCTATCTATCTATCTCTATCATCTGCCTGCCTGCCTGACTGCCTGTCTGTCTGTCTATCATCTATCTATCTATCTATCTATCTATCTATCTATCTATCTATCTATCTATCTATCTATCTATCTATCTATCTATCTATCTTTATCCATCCATCCATCCATCCATCCATCCATCCATCCATCCATCCATCCATCCATCCATCCATCCATCCATCTATCTATCTATCTATCTATCTATCTATCTATCTATCTATCTATCTATCTATCTATCTATCTATCTATCTATCTATCTATCATCTATCTATCTATCTCAGCCAGTGGGGCAGTGATGCTATAATGCCTTTAAAAGGGATCGGTTTTGAAGCCCTATAAATCCCATCCATTTCAAGGGCATTCTAGCATCATTGCTTCACTGGCTCTCTCTCCATATAGAAAAAGTATCACTCCAGCTACAAAAAAAACCCCCAAAAAACCACCCACTCCCAAGGGGAAAGCTGCCAGTGACTTGACTTGTTTGAAGGCAGTTTTTCTGCATGTGTGGAGCACAGCATGCTAATCAGAATACGATAGAACTGGGAATGCATCAGCACCACAGTTTTCCTTCTAATCAAGATCTTCAAGAACTCTTTGACAGGGAGGATTGAAAACGACACACTGTAGATTATTGAGCGCTGGGTCCCTGCAGTTCTAATCTGCCCATATTTGGAGATTTGGTTAAATCCTGATTTAAGAGCATGTTAAATTTGTTACTCTGCTGTCCAAATCTGATTAGTCTGGAAGCTGGAAGCAGACATTGGCTGTTTTCATTCAGAGGTTAACTTCTCCATCTATTACGTATCTCAGCAGAACACTGAAAGGGGGGACTAAATCTGTTACTTTTCTAAGTATGGGGGGGTGGGAACTTAAATTAAGTCAAGTGAGGATTTCCAGAAATATGTGCATCAAAAGAACCTCCAGTTTTTGTTTTCTTTCTTCTTGTGATTCATTTCTTGGTGGGTTTGTCATTATTCCAAAGTTAGCTAACAAATAGACTAGCTTTTCTAATGCTTCTTCCAGGTTATTTTGGACTACAAACCCCATAACCTAAGAACCATGAGCAGTTGGAGGTTAGGGGTAATGTGTACTGGACTATCCATAAGGAAAGAAGTTGGAAGACCTGGCCAATGCTAATGGGACTGCAGTTTGAAAGATTTGGAGGGGAACTGGATGAACTTAGTCAGAACAGCTTCAAAAATATAGCCTTTAAAATACAACCGACAGCAGTTATTTTTTTTATATACTGTACAACCCAAAAGATTGTCTTCAACTAGAAAAGGGGTAGTAGGAAAGTTACCAGCCCAGGTTGTATTCTTTGCATTGCTTCATAATCTCTGGATTCACATAGATGATGCAAAGTCCTTATTGTTGTGCTCAACAACAGACCGTACAACAGAACCATGGATGTATTTTGGAACCATTCTGAAGTAGCTTCCCGCTATTCTTTCTGCAAGGTGTATTTATTTATGAGATTTACAGGCTGTCCCAACTCGTGATAGTTCCAAGCAGCTTATATGTAGTAATACGACAATAGTGTCAACGCTGTAATATTGGATGTTCCTGCTCTGACAACTGATGGAAACTGCGGCCATTTTTACTTTGCTTTTAACATGCTTTTTCTTCTGCTTAGAAATTAGGTGTTGAAGGGGTGGGGTGAATGCCTGAGCTCAGCTAGCCATAATAACAATGTAGCTCCATGGGAACTCAAGGACACAAACAGATAATGTTTTGGTGGGCTGAGGAGCTGGGGAGAGACCCCGTGCTCCTGGCTAATTGGAGAATGTGATTTATGACTGCTTTGTGGGGTGGGACTTGCAATTTGTTATTTTGTATCTCGGGGAAGGGAATCTAGTTTTGGGTTCAACTATGTAGTGCTGGTACTTTGTTTCCTGAATAAAATGTTCTTTAAGGAAGAATTCTTGCCTTGAAGTTCTTTAATGGGTTTCATCTATTGGAACCATGACAAATAGAAGATACAGTGAAAATACTGTATCTGAATTGGATCATCAAAAAACGTTTAGAAAAACCCGTCATTGAAAAAGAACCAAAATTTTACAGAGGAATCTATCACCCACTCTGATCCAGGCCTGGACAGAGCTAAGTATTAAGAATTCATTTAAATAGAGGCATTGGGGGGGGATGCCTATTTAAATGAACTTTTGGGAAGGGGATGGAGGTTCTAGAGGGCATGGAAATTTGTTTTCAAATCTTGCTGAGATTTTGATGAATTGGGGTTGGAAGCTTGTGGATGCAGGAGCTTTTTCTTGTAGCTAACTACAGACTGAATTTCAAAATAACTTTAAAGACAGATATTCCCCCCCCCCCCCATAGATCAATCTTTCTCAACCTTGGCAACATTAAAGGTGTGTGGATTTCAACTCCTAGAATTCTCCAGCCAGGAATGGTCTTAAAGTTGCCAAGGTTGTAAAAAACACGAAGCTACAACACTGTTCGCTTATTTGTAGCTTAGTCGATTGTATGAGCCGACCTATATGGTTCCTAAGCCATGCTTTCTTGCTTACCAAATGAATCCCACCAATTGTGTGGCTTAGCCTGTGAAATCGACCAATCTATCCTTTTTCTTTTTTGATGTATCGTTTGCCTATTACCCATTTTCGTTCCTTTGTTTTTCCTGGCTGAAGAGCTCCGATGA